TTATGGGAGCATAAAAGTTTTTCCTTATTTTTTAATTTTCCATTCAGGAATAGAAAGAAGAGATATATTGAGATATTATGTGAGATAGACAATAATTCATCAATACACTAATTCTATCATCATGCATCTATTTATCTAATAATATTGCACTATTATTAGCAAAATGGTAATCAACATCTACATATGTATAACGATGAGATACCAGAATGTGCCATGCTCTCTCTCTCTCTCTCTAATCTAATATCAATCAAAATTCTTCCAAAAACTGTTTTTCTTCTTATCAATAATCTCTATGCTAACGAAATACCATCATCGATAACTAATATTCCCAGCCGCTTCAAGAGATGCGAACAGCTTCAATTCTGGTATAAAGAGGTTAACGGGAGGAGAGAAAATCTCGCGATCGCGGGGAAAACGACGATGGGAGAATGGCTAAGAGGAGGAGGAAGAGAAGAAGAAGAAGAAGAAGAAGAAGCAGAAGGAGAAGATAGAGGAGATCGAGGGGGCTCTAGAGAGAAAATAAGAAAACGACGAGTCGTTGAAACGGGCGTGCTCGGGCAGCTCGCGCATTGGTGCACCGTTGTGCACGATGTGTGCACAGTCGCCATGCTGAATACCCCCACTTTTGCTTCACGTGTGGAGCACCTACACACATGCTGCTCCTGCTGTCGCGGCCACACGCGCCGTCTTCGGTAGGGCGAGAAATCGAGCCTCACGAGCTCCGCCATGGGGGTCGGTGTTGTACGTGACGAGGGGACGAAGAGGAGAGAGAAAACGAAAAAAAAAAAAAAAAATTTGTACAAGGACTTAAGGGTTGGATGCAATTTCAGAAAGCCAACTCGCGCTATGCAGCCTCCTCTAATTGAAGTGACCCTCACCATGGTTTTATTCTTTAACGATTTGAATTACTATTGTAACGTATTCTCAAAATTAAAAAAAAAAAAAGTATTTTTTGTGTGGAACTGTGATTTTACTGTATTTTTCTGTGATGATTAAAAATGTGCTCGAATATAATGGATGATTTTACAGAGTTGGATCGATCGAAAAATTTGCAAGAAATTAATTTCTTTATACGATTTTCTTCTTCCTCCTTCTCTCTTTTATGTAGTACTAATAATAATTAAAAAATACGTACACAGATTATATTTCACCTAAGGCATGCAGCGAGACGCGCTACTAAATTAATATGATTGAAAGTATAATGACGCAAATCGTCAATCTAGAGCGTCTACATTTGTGCGCGTTGTAAATGCCGATTCGATATCATTCAAACATATGTAACATTAAAAGTTAATCGATTATTGCTGGCGAGATGAGGGCCCCGTGATTGAGTACCTCCAATCTCACGCGATATGGCGTTTACCGAGCGTCTCCGATCCATCGTCCTTTGATATGTCGATTGATTCGTTCTAACTCTGATTAGTAGTAGCGATTTAGCACGGAATTTATTGTCGCTGATAGACCTCGCTCCATCGTCATAATGGAATATTTCTTCTTATAACATATCGATATCGATTTGTCAGGGAATGCAATTTGCACGTACTACGTCATACACCTTTAATAACAATATTCAGCGTTTTAAAACTGCGTGACATTAACTGACAGATAGTTATATTTAAAACGAAATATTTCTACAGAAACTGTGTTCTTTTGCTACAAGATTTGCCGCATCCATCTGACGATAGATAGCTTATTAAATTCAAATGTCCATCTTTTAGCGAAAAATTTGATAATTACATATGTCTATTTCAAGATTTCAAATTTCTATTGAAATAAAAAAAAAACTCTTGCTTGAATTCAACCGAGCCTTTAAGAATGAACGGAAGATTATTATACGATATTTATTAATTACTTATAGTAGAAGGGAATGGTCACTATAAAAAAATGAATATTTTATATAAACGCCAATCAATGTATTTATAGCATGCGCTCGTTGTAATATTCGTCCTCATTTTTAACATGATTTCGAGACTAACATTGATTACAAGCGATAGTTAAACGTCATCCAAAAAATAAACGTCAATTATGAAATATTCGTTCAGTTGACAGCAGATATCCACGAGTGCTTTCAATACCGTGACAAGAGCGTCAATTGGCGCCGTCGGCTGACGTCTTAATTGCACAATTACGTCTATCAAATTATATGGCGATATCGTTTTACCGTTAGGCCCTCCATTAATTGTAGTATCACACAGATATTTGATCTTTACCGATCATAGCTGCCAATCGATTCGAAATGTCGAGATTTGAAAGGTTCTGCGCGAGATCGCGTGTTCTTTCTTTAACGAGGCGATCATCTTTTCATTCGATGATCTTTTCATCTGATTTTTGTATGGTATTTAATTCAATAGCTAGTTTTTACTGACCGCAATCTCTGGAACGAATCTATTTAAAAATTAATAGAAAGTTAAATTCCAAGCTCACAATTTGAAAAAGGCTTTTAATTCGCTCGCAATTTATTAAAATATCATGAAATTTTTTTCCACATTAAAGTTAAAAAAAGACCGTGAATCTAATAGAGAAACTTCAATATTTAAGATAGGGTTACCATGAGTTTCTTCGTAAATTTCTTTCTCTTTGGTTTCTTTTTTCTTGTTTCATGTTTACTGGATATTCCCTGAAGTCCCTTCGTTATAATATCCTTGTTTAATAAAGCCTATACACAATGTTAAAATTAAATCCATTCCGTCCTATATTACTTAACGTGTAATCCATTTTCGAAACAATAATTTATCTTACTTTTAAGGGTTATTTTTATGAGTTAAATCGTGTGTCTTATGTTTAAGAGTTAAGGGTTAAACTTTAAAACGCTTGCGGTGAAACAAGTTGTCATTAAGGCAGATGTGCAACCATAGCGGAAAGACACGCTTGCAACTCTTTTAGTCATTGTTTATCCTCATGCACAGATGTTTTAAGAAGCGTAACATTCTATACAAAGAATATAAAGGCGGAAAATAATTATATACAATGAAAAAAAAATTCTTTCTTCTGAGATCATTTTGACTTCTTTAGAATTTTTTTTTTTTTGTAATCTGCCATCTCTCCAAGGAGAGATTTCATTACTCTCTAACAGAGAGAAAAGAGAGAAGAAACACACGAAATCCGTACAATCTACAAACGAATGCTCCTCTTTCGTTCCTCCCGCGGGAAGGAGAAGGAAAAGAAAGAGAGAGAAAGGTGAGTCGCGGTGCGGGTAACGGGAGGAGAGAGGTCCGCGAGTGGGAGCGAGAGCCAGACGTATTAATTAAACGACTCATTTTCATCGCACGATAAAAACGCGAGTTTAACGCCCATCGCCGACTAATATGTCGCCCCACTGCAGCTTCTACATACCTCGCAAGAACTGACAACCCGTTGCTGGTCCCGCACCGTGGTAGAATCGACCAATCGGATATCAAGCTTGAAGGTGCACGCCTAGCATCGCCGAGCACGTCGAGCAACACCGAGCAACATCGAGAAACGCCCATCTTCATGGTCGATTTTCTGGTCCCCCACTATATGCGCAAAACTCGCTTCCACGTGGGAGAGGGTGTTCAACGATGGTGGGATCTGGATCCCCACTACGGCGAGCGTACGGTTTAGCTCGTAATTTGCTCAAACACTAGCAGGCTCTCGCGCCAGAAACATCCGTCAGAGCTGGTGCTCGGTTCTCGAGAGCTAGATTTCACAAAACGCGCGACGTGTGTTCTTATTTTGAGACTTTACGGCGTCCTTGTCTCGGTTTTTTTTCTTGCCGTCAACGAGGTCAGGTCGATGGAGAGTGTCAGACGTGACGTACGAGTGAGTGCTGTGAGACTCCAGTCAGTGCGACGGCGTTCGTGATTACAACGAGGTCGCATTGGTTAAGTTACGCGTTGTATAATCCTTTCAATTGGTACACCTTGACGTTGACGTTGGTGAAAAGAGGCTCAATACTTCAATATACCACAATATACTCAATATACCAAGTAATAAACAAGAGTGTATATAGTGAAGGATGGCACAAGCTCATATATATTCGTAGCAATCATCTATCCGTGGTAGAATCACAATAATTTAATGTAAAGTTTTAGCGATATCTATATTTCTAATATCACATCTATGTCATTCTATATTTCTAATATCAAGATGCAAATATAACGCGCTGAATCTGATTGTGTCCGTATACATGTAGCAGTGTATATATTGATAACAAATAATTTGACGACAAATAATTTTTTCCAAGAGATGGAATGTCACAAAAATATGAAATATAATGAACATTCAGCATTATAATTATAACACTTGATGGATAATTAAAAATATAAAGAAAGCATCACATGCAACATTTAACATATAATACTATGTTTATGGAAAATGCTAGGAAGGTTTATTCTAAAGTGAAAGTGATTTAGAGACATTGGGACGACGAGTTAGTGGATTAATCGTCTTAGTGATGCGTGAACGGAGTGTTGAATCTTGACTGTCAGTTGCAAGTGATTACCGAGACCATCGGTATCAATAGATGTTATAAAAGCAACCTCATCATTGTGATTGAGGGAAAATGATCAGAGAATATTCCGAGTTCTGAAGAATCTTCATTTTTTAAGAAACAATCAAGAGATATACTCTAGGAACTGGTACAACACGAAAAGACATTGTCGTGAATGCTTCTCGGTAGAACGAGAAATTGTGTGTTGCAGTGATGAATTGACAATGTTTATCCAAAGTAAATACATTCGGAAGTCTCTCCTTATTCATTAAATTACTTCATCATCTCAACTTAATAAAGATACTGTGTATTCTTTTATATATATCGCTATATTATATATAGCATGTTCTTGGACAATTTAGAACAATAATAATAGGCGTTTAATCAATCAGTGTATCATCGACGGAGATCATTCGATCGAGATAGACGGTTTCGAGGTGGCCGCGACGATGCGGCGGTTCTAATTCGGACGAATTCAGGAAACGCAGACGTGTCACGTTGGTTCCGGCACAGTGGGTTGTCCACCAAAGAAGCGTACGATAATCGTACGATGATGCCGCTCGCGCCGACGCCAATCGTCCCGGTGCCGTCAAAGCCGAAGATCGGCTTCAGCATCGACTCGATCGTCGGCGGCGGCGGACAGGGTGACCGTGAGGCGGACCGCCTGGACCGGCTAGAGCGAAATCGAGGGCTACTCGAAATCGTCGAACGCGACGATGGCAGCCCGATGGAGATAGTCGAGGGCTCGTCATCGCCGCGGGCGCGCCGGATGGCCGCAAGATCACCCGGTGTTCATTCCGAGGGCTCAGACCGGCCCGTCTCCAGAAGTTCCTCCGTCGAGTCGTATCCGAACTCGCGACGGACGCCGTCGCATGCAACCGGAGGCGGTGGGGGTGGTGGCGGCGGTGGTCACCATCACCATCATCATGGTACCAATCATCTCGGCCATCCACATCCGCATCATCATCACAATCTGTCGACGCATCTGGACTTCCGTGACCTCCGGACGACCGTACACAGTCACAGCGATGCCTCCAGCCCGAACAACAGTCCTAGCCCGCCGCATAGGATATCGCACGGGGATTCACCGGTCGGTACGCATCCCCAACCACCCCCCGGAGTGGTCAGGCCTAGCCCCAACTACCTCGCGCCGCCGCCCAGCGCCGCGACTGCCGCCGCCGTGGCTGCTGAGCAGCTGAAGTCTTTGTACGGTTTACCCGGCCACGGTCCAGCGAACCCGCAGACCGGCCAGAACGAGTATCACACGCAGCAGCTGGCCCTGGCCGCGAATTTGGCTGCGGCCCAGCACTTCCAGGCGGCAAATCTCGCGGTGGCGCTCCAGGCGCATCACGGCGCATCACCTCATGCACCCCCGCACGGACCCTATCCGCACGGTGGTGCCCCCGGCGGGCCTCATCCACCGCCTCATCCCCATCAACCACCCAGAGATAGCTACCCCCTGTATCCTTGGTTGCTCTCAAGGCACGGAAGAATCTTTCCTCACAGATTTCCTGGAGGTACGTGTCCTTCATGCTCGAACGTTTATTTAGTGGTTTAAAAGAAAATTCCGTATACTCTTCAAGATGTTTTAAGAACCAACGTTAGTATTACATGTCAGATCAAAGAGAGATTATAACTTGTTACGAGTTTAGTCAAGCATTTTATATATATATTGTATGATTTACATTGCATTAGCAGAAATTAAGTTTCGTTATTGTGATATATTTTTACTTGGAATTACATTTTTCTCGGATTTTCATTCGCAATTCACTAGGATTTACACGCGTTGACGTTAACGAGAGTTAAGCATTATGAGTTTGAAATCGTTGAAAATATTTATTTAACTGAATAGGAAAAGAAACGTGCTATTTCGAGAAAATAATGTTTTACGTTTGACAGCTAAAATCAGCCTTGAATAAAACCAAATTGAGCAAAAACAGCTTACGAAATTAACGAAATTTAAGACACTTACTTAACCTTGCTTTAATTATGTTTATTACACTGAATGGAAAGCTAACGATAAGTTTTTATACGCCAAAGATATTTTGGGAACAATTTTGTAAAGATATTATTACAGTTACGTCGGGTTATCACATAGTAAATTATCTGTGTGAAAATCTTTTTTTGTGGCGCCTATTGTGAGAAGAGGGAACCCCAGAAAAACTCCATGAGCATTACTCTTCTAGAATCCTCTTCATATATACCCTGCCATAGAAGGGACCTGCCGTTAAGAGCTTCGGGTCTTACATCCACTCATCTATACGCTTTAGATGAAAGTTTGAACTTCATCCGTCTTTTCGGACATGTGCGTGAAAATTATTCTCGCTATCGCAAATTATGAGAGTGAGCGTAGAAAATATAACAATATACGTAACGAAACGCAATTTGTTTCTAAGAATGTAGTTTAGAATTTCTCTATTCTAACACACACTCTCCCTCTATATATATATAATAACATAAAATATTATTTAACTATTATTTTTTGTGTTAAACATCAATTATACCGAGCTCATAGAAAGTTTGATTCGTAATTAAAAATAATTAAAATAAAAATAATTATTACGATAACATAAAATTATTTACCAATTAAAACATCCTGATTTTTTTAATTGCACGAGATATACGGGATCGAAGCAAAAAATAAATCGATATTTTGCTACTTTAAATATGAAACTGTAAATCTTAAAAATTATCGATTTATCTCACTGTTCCAAATACGTTATATAGCTTTTATTATTGTTTACGTTAATTTATCGATATTCTTGTAGTGCAAGTTCAATAATTCACATTTGCATTTCCTGTGATATGTCAAAGGACATCGACACAAAACACATGTATTTTTTACCGTATGTTATTGGGTTGACGTAAATGCTATTAATTGTTAGGAGCTGAATGAATCAATCCATCGAGAGAGCGCGATTATGCATCCAATTCTCGATAGTAATAATTATTCCTATCCGGTATCGCGTTACGCAACTATTTCGTAATTAGGATTTTGTAATGTTGTTGTCCCGCGGTACGCCACGGGTGCGCGCGCGGTACGTCAAGCCGAGCAAAACAAGTGTCATCCGTATCTCGGCGTCGTAATTAATTTATTTGCCTGCGTTGATACCGTTTCAATCCAATTACGCACTTATCGTACTATTAATGGGAAACACAGAAGAAATATATCGTTGCTCCCGAGAGATCTCCTCTCCTCGCAACGTCCCGCTCGACTCCCCGCAGTTCAGTCGCGATTCCGTTCGCGCCAAGTTGAAACACGCATGCACAACTTTATGATGGATGACGCCGTTTATTGGTTACGGCGAGATAGCGATTTCTGTCGTCCAATATGTATTATTGAACAAATCTGAAGTACCTCGAGGAGAGACATTTAATGTTTATGACGTGAAGGAAAACGACATTGATGCGAAATTAATTTATGTTTATATAATATATATTTTATACAGTTTTTTTCTTTTTTCTATTTCACTTTAATACGAGCTATTATTTCAATTCTAAATAATGTTAGCTTGAGGATAAATTGTGATTTTATAAACAGTTTTTTATAACGCTGGAACAGGCTTTATTAAACGCCTCAAACTTATACAAACGCTATACATGCGCTGTAATGTATAAGATGATGTATGTTGTATGTGTGTGTGTATAACATGATGTACAAGATTTCTGACGATGAAATTTTTCAACATGAAGTGGTTGAAGCCAAAGTTCGAGGAAATACAAAGGCTGTCCGCTAAAAAAATCCTCGAAAAAGAAGTATACAAAACAAATAAATATCTTAAACAGATTTAAAAAACCTACAAAAGACAACCGAAAAATATAAAAAATACCTGCGACAAACAGAAAGTTAATTCGTTGAAAGAGATCAATCGTGAAAATATAGAGGATAACAATCAAATCAAAATTTAACAAATCAGCAACAGAATTGTTTGGTCGAACTTTCTCCAAAATACCTACGTGCGAAAAATGTTGTTCGATAATTATGCAAATCTCATTTAGAATTGCTTATGGGATTGGTCAGGCTTACAGAAATGGGACAAACTAAAGAAAATAGAGCATTTTTGGCAAGTAGAGAAAAGACGATTATTACATAAGTTTCCAGCAATCGGCACATATACAGAATGAAATGTGCCACCCGGTAGAAAAATATATGCGCAAAGATGCCGCGAAACTAGTTTCAGCTGAAAAAAAAGTTCTCCAACGAATGCTATATTAGCCTTGATATCTGGAATATTTTTCCGCATATTTCTTTCTTCTTTTCAAGCGATAATGATATGAACAATACAAGGACAGTAATTTGATTAAAGATGTCGTAATTGTCTTAGCATTTTGTGCACTGACAAAAATAACAATAATAAATTGTAATTATGAGTGTAAGAAAGAAAAAGAAACATTATTTCATATTTTCCGAAAATCAGTAAAAATTATTCATGCTATTTGTGTGTGTGTAAACAGCAATCAACAAAAAATTTTATTTCGATTTTCGGGAAGTATCTGGTAAAAGTATTCAGAAAATTAAACGATCACGAGACAGCAATATCTCAAAATATTTTATACATTGGCTTCTTTGCTTTGTAACGATTATTTATCTCGAAGCATTGACCCGATAACGCAATAAAGTTACGTATGCGATATATTACCAAGAATATCTCGCATACTGGAAATTGTGTGAGATTTCGCGCGCCGATCGCGTTTCAATGCAACAAGAGCACCGGAGCAATGTGGTCGATCGGAGGTTCAGTCACGTAAAGAAGGGGCAGCCGCTTATCTAGCAATTAGTCGGTATCAGTAATTACGGTTGAGAAGAGCGAGAGATTCTCCCTTCCCCATCGCTATTTCGTTCGCACACGCGCAAGTACGTCTAAACACACGTGCAAGTACATGTTTGCACGCGCGGAATCAAGAAACCGTCTCGATAAGAGTAAGTCTTATTTTCGATTATTTTCTCTAACCTATTTCACCTCAGTCCTGCCTGCCAACATCCTTAAAGGCTCTTAATGGGCGCAAGGAGAACTTCCTCCTCGCTGCATCGCCTCTCTACGTTGACGGACATTACCGCAACAGTTAATTACCTGAGGCCTGTTTTGCTTCGCTTCTGCACAACACCGGTTGTTAGATCTGATATCGATATATTAAAATCTTGCAAAATCATTTTTATTTTATAAATTAAATACGGAAGTTGTGTATATATATAAAAATAGAATCATTAATTGCGCTTATATAATTTACTGCTGAGATAAACTCTCAAAAACATTTTTAGAATCAATATTGGGTGTTATCGTAATTTTGCGTTATCGTATTTATCTCATTTTTCCAAGATTCATTTTTTTTTCAATGCAAGATATCACTTTACAACATTTGAAAATACGATGATAAATTAAAAAAAATATTTATCTTATAAATTTTTTCTAAAAGATTTCAGATAATTCACACTTAATTTGCGTTTATTTTAAATTTCCGTTTTACTCAATTAATAGCTAAATGCGACAGAGAATATTTCGTTATCGATGCCGGCAAGTATGTATTATCATTCCAATTACATCCGAGATCTTTCAGATAACAGATAGCCTCTCATTCTTGAGAAGAGTTTAGTCATCGATGCGAAGACAATGCTATGTCTATCGACACGTTCAAGTCAACAATGAAATGAAATTGCAAATTTGTTTGAGTAATATTCTAAATTGCTAAATACCGTTTGATAAAAATGATAAAAGTGCAAAAGTGGGAGCCTCATCTATCATCGCAATAATACGTAGTCGCGAAGGAAGCGTTATTCGTACGAGGAAAATTTACGTTCGGGTTTTTTCCTCATCGGTATATAACGGCAGCATGCTTGCTCGTCGTCCTGCGAGGAAATTGTTCGCTTTTTCACGCGTGTCGTTACTTTGATTGCATTTCCATCCTTTTACCAACACTAATTATACAACCGATGGCAAATTGCGCTCCCTCGTGTTCGCTTTGGACAATTCGATTCGCTGGATGTCTTAATAATTATCCTTCGTGGCATCAAGTAACCATCACGATCGCGGTGGCCCTAATTGCCTGTAATGAAGATCCACAGACTCGGGAAAGACGCGGATATTGTGAATATGTATAGATCTGTGCGTGTTGATATGCCGCTAAAAAATTACGCTCGCATCGATAACATTAACGGAAAATTGGTATTAGCGGCAAAGGAGCCACTCTCGACGCGAGGCTATTCCCGAGATTGATCTTCAAGACTTGTTAAGTAATCTGTGTTTTTTTTTTTTGCAAGGGATATAAAAGAGGCAACTTGTGCTTGTAATACGCGCGAGAAAAGTGGAAAGTTGCTCTCGTAACGAAGAAACCTTCGCGGAAAGGACGCGTGCATACCTGGACTTGTCATTATGGTTGATAGTGTTATACAATTTCGTATCCGTGCAAGCGCGGATAATTGAAACGATATATACGTATTAATACATCAAAGAACGATAATTGAATGAATGCGATGAGAAATTTCAAACGAACGTTTTATTTCATTCCTACAGAATATATAATTTTATAATGCAAACGTTAAATATTACACAATTCGTGTATTGCATGAGACATGATATGGTTTTTTTCTATAAAATCTATGGACAATACTAAATAAATTTTTTAAAATTATACATGTAGATATTTAGTAAACTTACATTAAGATTTCTTTTTTCGGAAACACGTGCAAGTTGGTGAATCTAATTATTTTGGATATTTTTATTCCTAATATTGTTTGTTTTTAAGAATATATAAAGAATCTATTCCGAAGAATGTATAAATTGATTTTTCAAGTATGTTACATAACAAAAACAATATTTCCGTATACTTTCACAAGGCACAATGGCAAATTAATCAGCACATTAAAATGACATTTATCTGTGGAACGAAATATCCAGACAATAGCCAATAAATAGCGTGCTCTCTATTTCTTTCTTTCCTCGATTTACGGGCATCATTTCAGATTCCTGCCGCGTTTCTGCCATTCTCTCTTAAGTTATAACTTGGTTTTTCAAAGAATGTCATTGTTTATGATCGAGAAACCGACCTTTTCGATTTTTTGCGATTTTTTATGAAGTTTTTTATCCAATTATTTCGTCACACGGAGCATCGCAGCGTTAACTTGGTCCATCAATCGCGTTATTGCATCGATAGGTTCTCTGTTCCGTCAAGAGAATAAGAGTATTCTAAGCAATGCTATCTCGAGTTTAAAACTTACATTTGAATGTCCTCGCATAATGGTAATCATTTTTTGCACGTCGATGCTTCGTGCTCGATTTTTCATGCGAAACTGCGATTATGAATGCGCATCTGATCGATCTATTTGTGCATTGCGTATCTCTCAATGAAAGTGCGTACAAGTACGTAAACAAAACACCGGTGATTGCATATTTCTTGTGACTACCGGCATTTGCGATCTCATACTATTAAATTATATTTTAACGCGAGTGAATAGATTTTTAATAATTAAATGAATTTTTTGCGCTGTCAAACTTGATAGGTGGAACTGTTTTGGATTATATACGAATAACTTGAGATATATATAACTAAAAAAAATTTTTTTTTTTTAAATTTTAATTAATGTAATAATTCGTAAGCTGCGATAATATGATTACATGTATCGAGCATGTATTTTTTTACTTGTAGATATCGAACAGAATTTCAACAAAGATAACCGAGAATACTTTGCAACGCTCACTCCACAGGAGCAAATCTTTTACTCGTTTGCAAAACACATTAACTAGCGTCATTTTCATTTTTGCAACTTTGAATGTTATCGCGAAGGTGGGACTAATGCAAGCGACAAGATAACTTGTGAGTGTGTGCTCTTGAGCGTTAAATAATAATATAGATTCTCTACGATTGGCTCTCTCTCGATTCCGTGCATTTCTTATGAACATTTCTGCTAACGAGCCTTAACCAATGATTAGTTCTCCTCGCGGAAACGCGATACTATTGTCAACAATTGCCCTCGGCCGTTGATTTCTCGCGCACCTTTCGTGATTTTGCGCCCGTCGCGCGAGAAATTGCTGATATCCGGTATCAGGGAGGCGAACACTCGGTACGCGCTGATGCCGTGTAATTAAATAGTAATCATTCACTTACCGTTTCTCGTTGCTGTGCGTACCCTCGGAATCCGAGGTCGACTGATTTTGGGTAACCGCCCAAGCGGAATTTTCTAATCCGTTTGCCACTTTAGTCCTCTCGGATCTGAGTGTTTATACCTGAAAAAGATTTGAGTTTCATCAGTGGTTTATATGACTATATTAATTTAGGAATATCTTTCTGAAATTTTTAACCAAATCAGTTTGCTAATTTAAATTATCTTCTTCACGGAGAAAATAAAAAATGGTGTTAAATTATTTAAATTACAATTCTCAGGACAACAAATCTTGTAAAAAAATTTGTTTATTAAGATACACAATATTTTATGTTAATAAGAGTAAGTAAAAAAGAGATTTTAATAGGCAAGTGTTTAGAAGATTGATAAGATTCTATATTTTTCAAGACTTTCGTAAAAACACAAGATAAATGCCATTAAATTACTAAAATGATTTTAATGTTCGCGAATTAGGTCATGAGAAAAAGCTGGCTGATTTAATTGATTTAATTCATGACTAATTATAATCGCGACTTGAATAGAAAATATTGCTTAAATTATAATATCATGTATAGATACATTATAATATACGCTTGTTGTTGCATCGATATCCAGGAAGTTATGAGCACTATCTACATTTCAAATGGAAGCGCCTACGCGTTTTACAACGCGGTTTTAAAGGCAGGTTCGTGTCCACATCGATATCTGCGTGATCGCACGCGGTCTATGATATATCGCTAAGGGTATTTTATGCAAGTACATGGCAGTTCGCAAAACTCTCGTGAATATAGAGCTGCGCGACATGGGCTGTTTCCGTCGTCGTGACGTAGTATATATGCAAATGTTATTCTCGGTGCCTATCACTTTGTTTTTACGCGATTACGCGGCGCAAAAATGGCGTACAAGTAAAAAGTAGGTAAAAGTGCAAAATGTTTGGAGTTAGTTTCGTTTTCAGCGCGTAATAGCTGCATTATGGGCATTTTTATCGAAGGTGACTGTATAAACTATTAGTTGAATATTCCTATCGTTGTGCAGAATAACATTCGCTGAAAATAAATTATATCGACGCTTTCCCCTGCATAATTATTTAAAAAATATATAT